ATGTTCTTCTCAATTTAACATTACTAATAAATAATCTTCCCTCTGGAATAGGACTTTGAAATTACAATATGTACGTAGTTTGTCTTTTGTACATACCTCCGCTCTCCAATTGTGTCTAAAAATATCATTTGCCCTTGACATGAATTGACAGAGAAAGGCTTCAGGGTCACCAGGACCCTGCCAAAACCACACTTCACAAAACCAAACTCAAAAAGAATAGATTTTATGTTTGTTGCCCATGACGTTCTGTCATTTTCATCAAGATTGAGCGCAAGTTTATAAGCTTGCTTAGCAACTCTACTTGGGTGCATGGTTAATAGTCTTAGTCAGTATTTCATACACTTTTTGACTGTATAATTATATATAGGGTCTTGCTAATGTATTTACAGCCATTGACAGTGGCGAATTCAGAGAGGGGCCAGGGGGGCCATGCCCTCCCCCCCCCCAAAAAAACGCATGACGATTCATATCATCTGGATTACGCATAGCTTCTCTGCGATTTACGCTCCGTATATCTTAAGCGAAGCTTGAAACCTGCCTGACAATCTGTAATACAACCCACCGCATCTGCCCATTTGACCAGTCTTATATTCAATATTGATGTGAAAATTTTACTCAATGAGTTTAATAAGGTAATTCCCCTGTAATTTTGTGGATCAGTCATACTTCCCTTTTTATGTATTGGTACTATTATACCTTTACACCATTCATTTGAAAAGACTCCAGTGTCAAAAATAATATTAAACATAAACATTAGCGGGAACAAGTATATTTTTGGCAGCTTTATAAAAATCATTGGGAATGCTATCCGGTCCAGGGGATTTGTCATTTTTTAGTTTATTCAGTGCATTCAAAATTTCATCTATACTGCCATCCTGACTATTGCCCGCGTAATCAAAATCTTCCAAATATTGCTCAACTGTGACATCTAAAGGTGACTTTTGTCTTTCGGGGTTGTGAAGTATTTCAAAATGTTGCAGCCATTTTTGTCAGTGCAATGTTTGGACAATGCTTACTGACTTCCGTGAACCGTTTGACCTGTTTCCACAAATCATTCCTCTCTACCTCTCGTAAATTCTTACAAGCATCACGTTTGAATTTGTTTTTGTTTGTTTGTTCACATACCTTTTTAAAAGCTATCTTTAAAGTTTTATAATTTTGTAAGCTCTCAAGATTATCATGCTTTCTGAATTTACGTAATGCAGAGTACATATCACGTTTAGCTGACATACAATGTGTATTAAACCAGGTCGAGTATGGCTGCCTGTGAACACCTTTGTAACAATATGCACGTTTCCTGAAATCACTAGCTGCCCAGTTTAAAACATTATATAGATTTTCAATAATATCACTTACACATTCTTTACTAGAATTTAGAACCTGAATTATCATATTCACCCCCTTATTGGACATCATATTTTCTAAAAAGAGAAAAACTTTCACTGAATGGCCCAGTTTCTGTAAGAGCTATTTTCATCGAGACTCATCACAATAAAAAATGTCGAGGAAACAATATATTAACAACTTTACATAACACAAAAACAAATAAGAGTATCAAAAAAAATAGTTCATAGGGTATATATATATATATATATATATATATATATATATATATATATATATATATATATATATATATATATACATGTATATAAAAAATCACACAGGCGAACTTTAAAATAAAGGATATTAGAAGTTCTCTTCAAGTTCAACTCTGAAGGAGTTTCACAGTTTAGCGGAACGGTAACTAAACTAAAAGTCCGCTGTTCTATATTGAGGTTGGCTTTGAAGACACGACAATCTTGTAAAAAACGCAGTGTAATTAGTTATTTGCATAATGATATTGATACATTGTATGGAACATCTTGTGAGTATTTAGACTCAGTTCCAGGCCTAACAGTTGAGCAATAAACACCTTGGCTACAAGTGCTCCTCTCCAGTGTGTTATTCTCCTCCCGGATTTGGTGACCAATATTCACTTGGTTCACTCTACCTTGAGAAGTCTGTTCTCAGTTTACAAGCAGTAAATCATTCCCGTGAAGTAGCATACTAGTATTTCAAACCATAGGTCTATGGTTCAAACTAATATTCGACAGTTCCTATGCTGAATAAATGCAAAGAAATGCAACAATAATTTTACCTGGAATATGTTTCTGTCAGGAATTTAAATAATTAAGATATTCATTGTCATAATTTTAATGGTTGTTGATCTAAGCAAGATTATGATATATGCAAATTTATGGCGGTAACCACCAAACTGCATCTATGAAAACCTTGTTGTTTCTATCGCGTGTTCCTCTGAATCTAGATTTACTTTCTGGGTAACTGTGACATTGAGGACAATGTTAACTCAATTCACAGATAGACCACTTTATTACTAGTCATCCGGACACCAATATGGCCGCCTTCCAACTTGCAACTCAAATTACAATTGCTTATACATCTAAGCCTATGTTATCCACCAATAGCTGTAAGCCATTAACGGATGACGTAGTTTCTAGGTCCCGACTCTCAAGGGGGGGGGGGAATAGTCTTGCATGTCTTATATATATATATATAACTAGAATGTAAACAGTCGGTCGTACATAATATTAATCTACTATTTTTTTTATAAATATTGCGTATAAACGTAATAGGCGTGACTAAATGATAGACTAAATTGCGAACGTCGGGACAGGAAGTATGGAGACGGTGTATGGAGTGCCGTTGGGCACGATTCCTTCGCTTGAAATGCTTTGCAGTTTCCCGTCAAACGCTTGAAATGCTTCGCAGTTTCTCATCAAACACCTTCGGCATTTCAATTTCTAGGATACACAACTACGTTAGGCCCGAGTGGGTTGTCGATAGTCTAATATATAAGTTATACGCCTATATTATGCTTTCTGTTTATGATTTATTGTTTGACCCCGGGGTGCTTAACAAACATCGTGGGAGCCTTCTCATGTTCGTGATTCTCACAATCTATTTGCTATTAGTTATATTGCTTAGAAACATATGCAGGTATTTCACACAGATAAATCATCTAGATGCTTTTAGTAGGTCAAAATCTGGTCAACTCGACCCCAAGTCAACTCGACCCCAAGTCAACTCGACCCCCGTATTTTAAGTAAGTAATGCCTTTATTGAAAACATATCCTATTCAGGATCTGGATTTTTTAAATACAATAAAGTTTCAAATACATAC